AAAAAAAAAAAAAAAAAAAAAAAAACACTCACTAGAAAAAATTAGATCCGGATCTAATGGGAGGATCCCTTCCATGGCACCAGGCTCATATCATCTCCTTCGCTACTTTTCCTAAAAACCCTCTGTTAGAAAGTTACCTTAACGTAGATTCGACCCTCAGAACTCAAACTCAACAGCAAATGATGAACTCTTCTCGGCTGGAACAAATCTCCAGCCGGCCGCTCTCCCTAATCCTTCAACACCCAAAGAAAAATCATATGTTTGTTGCACAAGTCTTCCTTAACCCCTCCTTCCGCGAAGCTTCCTCTTCTTTGCTGGATGACAGGCCATCTGCTCAAGAACGGAGCTAACGGAACATGAGGAACGGATGAGTAAGGAGGGTTCGAGAGAAAGAGCAGAACCGATGCCAGAAATGGAACCTTCTCTCCTTTTTTTTTTTCTGACTTTTTATTGTGCTGTTTTGTGACTGGTGATGGTGATGAGATCAGAGATGATCGGAAACTATGGTAGTGAGATCCAAGTCGGGGGCTGGAGAGAAATGTACTTTTTTTTTTTTTTTTGAACACTGGGGAAACATGGAGAATGGAGGATTTGTCAAAGTAGTCCGTGGGAATTGAATTTCTATTAATTAAATCAAAACACAAAGATTTAGGACAAACTATTGGTCCGAAGGGTCCGATCCGAGAGGGGGACGTTCTTAGAAAAGAAGACTCAAGGGATTTTTCATTCGTGGCTGCCCCTACTCCATTTTGAACGAAGGCCTCCCCTTCCTTTCATGTCTGTAGGTTTTTTTTTTTTTTTATAAAATGGAAAGGACTCGGGTCAATTTTGTATATGGACTGGATTTTTGTATAATTTTGAATTGGGTCTGGATGCAAGTAGGCCCAAATAAGAAAAAATTTTTTTGCACAATTGATTTCTCATTTTGTAAATTTCTTCACATAAATTTGATTTTGTCATTTTTCTTCAACATTTCAACCCAAACATCATTCATTTTCACGATTGAGCACTGAAATATAAGAAATAAGATTAATTAAAATAATTTTAAGATAAAATTTAATTTAATCATTATGTAATTAAAATATATTTTTAAACAAAAGTTTAAATTATTACACCATCCAAAAACTCTTATTTTACAATCAAGTATATCACAATCTAAACTCTCAAGAGCAACGACGGCCAATATCTATTCAAGGACAACGTAGAACAAATGTTAACCAAAAAAATACCGTAGCAAGGGTAGCGGGTGAATGACCGGATTAGAGCTTGCCTTATTGACGCATGGTTAAAGAGAGAGCTTTTCCGGGCCATGATTAATGTCCATAATTCATTACTTTTAACGTTTAATGAGCATTTAACTTAAAAACATAGAACTGGAATGACCTACTGCCCCGAATGTTAGCTTAAAAAGCTCAAATCACTTAGATATTAATTAAAATACATTATTCAAGACTTGAATTTTAACTCAATAATTAGTTAAATAGAAAAATATTTTGTTGATTAGAGTAGGTAAGAATCATATTAATATAATCTATCTTTTATTATAGTACAATACGTACAAAATTTTTTATATAAATTGTTCACTTACTGCTAATTGTTGGAGCTGTGGTGTTCAAGCTACAAAAGCAGTACCAAATGAAAATGAAAGGCTGCACAAAATGGCAGCAAAATGAAGGGAGAGCAGCACCAATAGGACGGTAGCAGCAAAGTGCAGCAATTTAGAAAGCAGCAGCAAATGAAAATGAAAGGCTGCACAAAATGGCAGCAAAATGAAGGGCTCCACCAATAGGATGGTAGCAGCAAAGTGCAGCAATTTAGCTGCAAATATGATGAAAATGAAGCTGTCAAATGACAGCAAAAATGTGCAGCAAGCTAAGTTGCAATGTTGATGAAATGAGGCTGCAATGAACAGAAAATTAAATGCAAATGCAAATGCAAATGAAATAAAAGGAAAGGCTGCAAAGAGGCTGCAGAGTTGCCAAGAGGCTGCAGAGTTGCCAAAGGACACAAGCATGCAGCAGCAAAAGTGGTTGTTACTCATTTCAAAATTCAAATGCATATTTATTGTTTTTTACTGTAAAATAGTTATTTGAATTTTGAATTGTTTAAAGATTGAATTCTCCTATAAATAGGAGAGTTTGTTAATGAGAAAAATGGAGTTGAAGTCATATACTTCTCTCCATTTTGTGTGTTCTGTTCTTCATCTTCTTCTCCTGAAATTCTCTCCATTTTCTTTGATAAAAATCTGAACATGGTATCAGAGCCTTTCATGATCTTTGAGGGCTTGTGTGAGAGAGATTTGAGGGTAATCTACCACCACAAACTCTGACCAATTCCAAATGGCTGTCAGCAAGTTTTTTCTTTCAAAATACCCTCTTTTTTTTTGACCAAAAAATGCAGCAAAGATGTTGTGATGATGAAGGTTAACTTTAGGTCCTTCAATCTTTGAAAGTGGTTGACAAAAAGATGCGACCGATTTGTTAAGGCAGAAGAGAGTACGTGAAGCTGTGAAGTTGAAGATTAACTTGATGTCCTTCAATCTTATTGAGGCAGAAGATTTATCATGCTGAAGATGCTGGTTTGATGATGTTTTATGTTGCTGGTATGGGTGGTGTTTTTTATGCTATAGCATTAGTCCAAAAAGGCAAGGATGGCTTATGAAGATGTAGATTGAGACCAATAGAGTACTCAACATTACATCAAGTCATTTTCATGACCGAGTAGCCAAATCCTTAGCCCAAGGAAGCTATAGAAGATGAAAAAAGATGATGAAGCAGCACTTTGAGGTGCCAATTCCTTGTTTTATTTACTTAGAAAATGCAAGTTGCAAAACCTCCAAAATTTGTTTGAGGCACAAAACCCAAAGAAGGAAAGCTGCAATGAAGGAGGAGCTGAGGTTGTTTGAGAAGGGTGGTACATGGCTGTGAAAAAAAAATGGTGAAAACCAAGCACAAGATGGATGGCAAAGGGCTAATCCCAGGTGCTTAGGCATAAATCTATTGTTGTTTTGATTTTACAGCTTTAACACCAAGGAGGAGTGTTGGAGCTGTGGTGTTCAAGCTGCAAAAGTAGCAGCAAATGAAAATGAAAGGCTGCACAAAATGGCAGCAAAATGAAGGGAGAGCTGCACCAATAGGACGGTAGCAGCAAAGTGTAGCAATTTAGCTGCAAATATGGTGAAAATGAAGCTGTCAAATGACAGCAAAAATGTGCAGCAAGCTAAGCTACAATGTTGATGAAATGAGGCTGCAATGAACAGCAAATTAAATGCAAATGCAAATGAAATGAAAGGCCACAAAGAGGCTGTAGAGCTGCCAAAGGACACAAGCATGCAGCAGCAAAAGTGGCTGTTACTCATTTGCAAAATTCAAATGCTTATTTATTGTTTTTTAATGTAAAATAGTTATTTGAATTTTGAATTGTTTAAAGATTGAATTCTCCTATAAATAGGAGAGTCTGTTAATGAGAAAAATGGAGTTGAAGTCATATCCTTCTCATACTTCTCTCCATTTTGTGTGTTCTGCTCTTCATCTTCTTCTCCCGAAATTCTCTCCATTTTCTTTGATAAAAATCTGAACACTAATGTAAAAGTCATATTAATATAATCTATCTTTTATTATAGTATGTATGATCTTCATGTTCCCTCTTCATGTTTATTTCTGATTTTTCTCTTTTCCTGTTGATCTCTCCTTGATTTTCATTTTCCGTTTTCTTGCTTCTGAGCTCCAACATGCGTGCATGATGGCTGTTTGGTAGACCTACTTATTTAATACACATTCTAGAGACAGATTGAGATTGTTATCTTTGACGAGGACTTCCTTGACGGCTTCTCTTTGAAGATGTCTCTATTATTCTCTTCCTGTGACTTAAAAATGAAGGAGCAGCAGATCCTAATTATATTGTTCTATTACATCAATTTTTATTTTCACAGGAAGGCAATGGCCATTTCAAGTATATTTGTCTATATTACTTTAAAACTCATAATCACCATTCCTAAACTTGTCCATGTCTACATCAACGCCATAAGTCAGCCAACAGAATTAATTTCACCAGTTGGAAGAACTAATTTTAATCGAGCAAAAACAATTAGCCACTTTAAATAATATAATAATAAAATTAAGTAGCATTTTATAGAGATGGTTAACTAAGATGAGACAAGCTCTAATTAACGAGGTATTTGGTTGAAAAAAAATTTCTGGTAAAGTTGTCTAAATTTTTCTCTTTATAATATTATTTATATATTTTTATATATTAATATCACAATAAAATAAAAATAAAAATTATATTTTTATTTTTTATTTTTTCTAACACAATTCTTAATTCATAAACTTTCTTACACTTTTTAAAAGGAAAAATTTTTCTCTAACTTTCTTTATGTGTGATTTATTTAACAACTTTTCTATTAATTTTTCCTATATCAATCTGTTACTAAACATAAAAAATTAATAACTTAATAAAATTTTAACAGAATTTCACTATAAAATTTTTAAACTTTCAGTACAGTACATATTAACTTTTTGTGCAATATGTTTTTAACTACTTTCCTAATAAAACTTTTTATGATAAAAGTTGACTTTAATTAAATAGACCCAAAATATATGTTTGGTTTGAGAAGAGAGAAAAAAGATGAATAATTTCATAACTAATTAAATTATAATATGATTAGTAAAAAAATTTATTCGACCTCTCCAGCTCTTTGTCACTCAAACTAAATATATAAAAATAATAATAAATAAGATTAAAATTTGAAATTAATTAAATAGACCCAAAATATATGTTTGGTTTGAGAAGAGAGAAAAAAGATGAATAATTTCATAACTAATTAAATTATAATATGATTAGTAAA